TGCTTCAACGTACGCCGGGCTAGACACACTACACACATGCAAATTTCATTAGCAAAGGTATCATATTTCCTCACCGGTAGGAACAGTAATGATATGTTAAGAGCGGCACGCGAAGACACTCTACATTCCTCCCAGTCCTATACCCCCTTCCCTCCCGTACCCTCTCTTTCCATCACGCCCTCAATGTACGTTTACTGGTCTCAGGGGGTGCCTGCATGTGTTTCATTACCCCTGTCACAAAGTTTAGCCACGGAGCTACCGTCTATTGGCCTAAATGTGCCACATTTACAGACTAGGAAGTCTGTCGAGATCTAACGTGGTATAATGAGGGACCCTGCTTCCCCGAACGTCACGGTTTCAGAGTTATTACAAGATAAATAGATACAGGTTTTAAGTGATGTACGTTCTGACAAGCCGTTTTTGTAGAATGTTAAACAACTGCCAGCTCAGAGCACGACGCTGCCCTTCCGTAGATTAATGTCAGTCAGATTATGTTTCTTATTTTACAAAAAAATGTAAAGAAAACATTTGTATATCAGGACACAGGTCTTGAAGTTCTCGAGGTCATGAAATTGTAAAGACAATTGTAGTGTTACATCCAAACTAACGAAAAGAATAGCGAAATGATAGGGTTCGCGTAGTTCCAGCCATACCTGAATAAGAACAGAAAACTGCAGGACGGAGCATAACCATTTCCAGTGCATCACATTGTACGTTCAACAAATAGAGAAAGCTAAAGATGTCATTACATCTTGGCTCGAATTGCGCCATATATTGTGTACAAACAAACAATTCTTGTTTTCTGGCTTCCACTGTATAAAAAGCAAGAACGTTGGACCACTTGTCCAACAAATACCAAAATATTAGTTCGGGACTGTTGACTGAATACCTCAAGCAGAAATAACATCTGTGAACACGTGTCACAATTAAGTACACCCACTGAGTAGTCAATGCTACTGAAGCGCGTGCCGACTGGGCTCTCCCCCACCCCATCCCCCGAGGAAATTACGAAAGAAGGACAAGGTCATTGTGTCCTCCAGCCTGAAGCAACCGTCTGGTTATGTCATTGCTGCGAACATCAGTTGGGTGCGTGATGCTATGCTTTCGTAATACGCTTTACATGACGTCTCCAAAAATAAATGACAATAACTGGCTAAGATGAGGTCATACCTTGTTGTGCATTATGTAAATGGATTTAATGCTCTCAATGAGGCTTGGCTGCTGGGCCCATTTCTCGTCATTTGGATCTGGGAGCCACTGGTAGTCACTGAGAGACTGGACATCATGTACGAGAACATGTTTACATCAGCTCCGTTGGGTATCCGACAGCGCTACATTCATGTACACTACCGCTACAGCACGTCTCCTGGATGACCTTATTAGTATGTATCTTGAAACTCTTGGAGGCGTTTTGATTATATCCCCTTGACGTGACTGAAGATTAGGACTGAGAGTATAATGACTAATGATATGTATTTCTTTTCCTGTAGACGCAACATTGTTTCTTGTTTTGAAGATCAGAAACCTATGGACATACAAACAATCCTGAGCAAACATTTAGTTGGCACACAAGTGACTTCAAATCTCGAAACAGCTGTAAATTCGTTCTTAATGGTAGCATGAATTCAAGAACGGTTCAGGTTTAGGAGGATGTTTTACCAATTTAGTATATACACTGTAAGGCATCATGGACATTGTCAGGCATGCATGAGTTGGTTCCTGGAAGAGGTAGCAAGACTCTCCCCGCCCCCACACCGTCTCATATTACTTGTACAGCCCCAGGGCTAGATGCTCAGTCTTTATGCTACAGTGCCCCTGCACCCCTGCACCATGCAGCCTTCTGTTGCGCCGTGCCACTAGAATCATGCTGTGCATTAATCCTTACTGACAGGCGTATGTGAAGGAATTGCACTGATGCAGATGCCAAAACAAAATGATGTTCATGCACACTATATTCTAAACAAAGTATCTACTGAAATACCTTGACATGTTTCTCTTAATGTGTGTGTTTATTTGATGATGTGTTTCAATACGCGCATGGTAACAAAGACAAAAATGGTACAAATATATTTCACGTTTTTTGTTTTGAAATCGACAGATGGTGTCATATTATGTTTCTAGTAATGTTCCATCATAGAGAGCTGAAGATATTCCTGAGATGTTACAACACTGTGGTTATGGGCACGAATATTTTCTGTGCCCTGCTGTCTGGGTTTGCTAGCACCATCCTTCACTACACTAGCAACCGTCTGTTATTGCGTTATTTGGAGATGCCGTAATACCGTTAAACAAACACTTAAATATTTGCGCCTAGATCTCAAGCTGTCACGAAGCAGTGATAGCGTTTCTTTAAAAACGGGCAGTGGTTATCGACACTTGGGGTTAGTTACGTTCATCCATTACATGTTACAATCCTCGCTCTCTGCTACATATATGGTGTGCCACCAAGGATACCTTCACAAAGTGGTATAAACACATAATACTGGATTCTAACGATGAGGCTGACATTAAAGTGAATATGCACTGACAATAGGGTGACACGACCTTACTGTTTAATAAGTTATTTAACTGTTTAATAACCATTTAACTACCAACTCACTGTTCAGTAAGTTAATTAGCTGATAGCTTTCATAAACCATGTAACTAGTACAAAGCTAGTTATACATCAGCAAGACTGGTTTAATCAGGACTAGTTCCAACAGACTAGTACCCACCTAGACTATTTCCAACAGACTAGTACCCACCTAGACTATTTCCAACAGACTAGTTACTACCCAGTTCCTGTTTGTTGTAAACTCCTGTATCGCCATCGATATGAGTCATTTAGTGGTTACCATGGTGATATGACAGGCGAAATTAGTGTGATGAGCTTGTATGCGAACGGTTTTTTTACAACCTTGTAAAAGTGATAACCCGGTGTTTGTGAGAACGGTGGCAGAGAAGTATTCCACGCTATTTTCAGCGCGAGTGCTCTGACTGTAAGATCTAGCTGACGTCATCGAAACTAGTACTGTGTATTATTACCTTGCCCTTCGCTTGAGATGTAATACACGATGGATATACGATACGTTACTGTGGCAACGTCGCACATGTTTTGGTGAATTAGTATAACCGTTAAGGTACAGCGTAACTCTTCAATATCACACCACACAAGAGTAAGTAGAGACATAATGAATGACCCATATTTATATAAGGCATAAATGGATGTTGAAAAACATTCCCATCCATACAGCAAAGTAATTACAAATGTTTAAGGTTTGCTGTGTAGATGAAATTGTTTTCATTGTACTTTCATCTCACTGAAATACTGCAAGCTGAAAATCAACTGCAAAATGTTTCAGAAACGGAAGTACATTAAAAACATGTTCCCGAATGTACAATTACGAGTATGCATTTTACTTGTTATGTAAAGCAAACAGAAGACACGGGGAGTCAGCTTGTAAAACAATATACCGGAAATATCTTGTCGCGTGGATATATATATTTATTTGCAACAATGTTTGATCTTAAACATATGCTATGTGAATGCAATTCCAGTTTATCTTTATCATCCCTCGAACCCCCCACCGTTTATTGCCCTCATTATGCTAGGGTTACATCCTGGTAGCGGTGACAGCGTACAACGTGCAAACGCCGGGGGCTACTGTCTCACACGATACCGTTTATAGAGTACAAGACCAACATGCAGCGATTCCACCTACACCGAGTTTAGTCATAACGTTTCAACAATTTGATTGGTCCGCAGTCGCATGTCAGCCAATGAAAAGCCTTAAAACAGTAACCATGTAAAGACTTGAGGGGTACATATACACTTCCCCTGCTCAAGCCCGTATCAGACAGCTCTGGGCGTAAGTATTGAGATGTGGTACCCACTTTCTTCCCTCACAAACCAAACCCTCCTTCACCCGAAAGAAAATCTCACAACAACATACCAACCTCTGTTACTCAGTTTCAAACTCCGGAACCCTCACCACTTAATTACCCGTTTTCGGTACTTTCCTTCCTGTACCGATTTCCTCCTGAAACTAAACATTTCTCGTAAGAATATCTTAATTCTTACCAGGAAACATTGTTTAGTTTTCATGTCTATCACCTTTTGTCTGCATTATTCCAGCGTTTTTTGCATATCCCAAACCGTGTGTGACCCTAACCGAACGCCCGCGCAACCCGTATTTTATCACGTTCCAACACTAATGAAAATTTATTGATGAATGATATTTCAGCTGTTTGCAAAATTTGTGCGGATATACACGGATATGCTACTGGATATGCTTCGTATACTGGAATATATCTAAATGGACGTCACAGGTTAAAAAAGTGGATGATTTGGTGTGCGGAAAATCTACTTTTTAACGGTTTATTTCACAGCAATGGACTACTTACAGACGTTTTCGCATTAGTTTTCAGATATTGCATCTAAAAATTGTAAGAATATCAAATTTGAAAGGTATGTTTGAAGATGTGCTTTCCTAATGTTTGTCGGAAACATAATTAGCAAAATTGTAAAAAGGTTTTCACGCTTGCATATGCAACCGCAAGCAGACAATATTTGCAGGCTAGAGAAAAAGTGAATTGCAAAACCATTTTCATTCGGCGTTTCGTAATGATGTTGTTCAAGGTCATGAACAGCTGAAGGTCATTATACGCATACTAAGTTAAAAACGTAAAAGAATACTGGAGTGGGAAAACTACTGATCCTCAATCCATTACGAATGTACAGAAAAGAAAACACAAATGTTCAAGATGTGCATACCGTCCATATGATAAATCGTTGAAATGTTTACCTGCAATATAGATTTAAGTGCTCACGTTCCCAACCATTAGCACGTGTGTGTTTTTTCTACAAACCGCACTTCTGAAACCGTAGTCAATGCATTAATTCCACGGAAAAGAATTATACGTGAAGCGTTCATAATATCCTCCCGGTGCGTTTATTATATACGCTGGAATGCACAAATAAATCCCTATGTGCGTTCATAAAATCCTTTTGTTTCTTCCAGAGCTGTTCGACAGTCTCCTTCTTGATTTCGATCTCTCTGCGTCCAAAGTAGGGTCACCATGGCCGCTTACGACCCCAATGACCCCGACATGCAATATCTTGCGGTTGACCGCAAGAAGCTCATGAAGGAGCAGGCCGATTTGAAGTTTGACGCCAAAAAAGCTTGTTGGGCTCCTGATGCCGAGGAAGGTTTCCGTTCTGCCGAATTGCAGAGTACCAAAGGGGAAGAAGTCACTGTCACCATCGTCGGTACTAACGAGGTAGGCGAGATGTTCTGTGTGTCACTTTATATATTGTTATTAGGCAACATCGAATATAGAGGAGATATATGCAATCACGGGACCAGCTGTTTCTAAATACACCCGTGTGGCAGTTCCTGTTTTGGGGGGAGCTGTGTGAGGCTATATTTCTTAGTTTGTGAAAAGTCCATCACATTCATTTCGTTATATCTGTATTTTGGTATCATAAAGATGCGATATGTTATTAGTTTTACAAACTGCTAAAGAACTGTTTCGAAAATCTAGTTTGCTTCATCACATCCAGACGTGATTGTAATTAAGTATAATATATTTTGGATTTTCTTGCCCCTCTGATTCCGTCACACCAATTATGAACAGTATCATGTATTACAGTGATTTTACGCCGCTTCCATTTCACGATACGCGGATTCTTCTCTTTATTGCCATACACATGATTAGAAAGACAATTTCGATCTCGTTCCGCCCGTAGTTGATGGCATTTCAGTTGCACTGCAGGGATATTTTGAAGAGTGTTTCTGTTTCGTTGCTTTCGGAGTTGTCCTTTTGTCTGTCGTTTCTCATTCTTAGAGGTAGATTATGCCCAAACTAAATCATCGCAGGGTAATGGGCATGTAGTATTCATGATTGAAAGTAGCCGTTTGGTACACATAATGAGATATTTTATAACCGTTTGGTACACATAATGAGATATTTTATAACCGTTTGGTACACATAATGAGATACTTTATAACCGTTTGGTACACATAATGAGATACTTTATAACCGTTTGGTACACATAATGAGAAATTTTATAACCTTTTTGATAAATTCATGTACACGATAATGGCGTACGTTGATAAATATGCACCCTACTTGTCGGTACTAAATGTACAGAACCATAAGTAGATATAATTTCATTATGACCACACACACACACACACACACGCGCGCGCTCTCACATACACACCGACACACACACACACACCAGCAGTTACAATCGCAGGCACACACGCATGTCTCATGGTTTGTGGTAGCGTTTACTACAATACTTCAGGACAAACTAAGTATGTACTAGTATATGAGAAAGATGCATTACTTGTGCTCGCATTACAAATGATTAGTTGCATTGCCCTCTCGCTTAAACATACCCACCTTTGAAGCCGTTTAAGCTAAGCTTAGAGGACATTTGAGCTCATATTGTAACGTGTTGAGAGGAAGGGGATTCTGTAAGCGAACGGTCTGCGCAACAGAGACATGTCTGAGATGTCGAGAGTATGATACGTATATGTCATTGCAGCTAGTGACTAAGTACGTCTATCTTTAGTTGGGATTTCGTATCATTATGGAAATGGTTTTGTTGTAATGATTGGTGTAACACTATTTCACTTAGATGTCTTGTTTTATCTGTAGCGTTAACTGGTAACCTGTTGTCCTAACTCTGTTTGAAAATGTAAAACAACCGGGGCAAGTATACGTTAGTATGACGCTGTTTGAATACCATTTCGCCATGTTCCATAAATACCAATTCCAAGATATGTTATCCTCATCGTCGTTACTGTTACGGTGTTTGATTAGTGCGGATCATAGACTATATACGTTGGTATCAGCTGTCCAATGGAAGAAGGTTGGTGGTCCACATTATTAAGATTTGTCAGTGTCATTCAAGATACCTCGTGAAATATCTAGGATCACAGGCAAAATCAGATTCACAGATGTATTTTGATCGAAGGCTACCGTTTGTAACTTTACTCCTTGTTTGTAGACAAAGACTTTCAAGAAGGATGACATCCAGTCGATGAACCCTCCCAAGTTCGAGAAGATCGAGGACATTGCTAACATGACCTACCTGAACGAGGCCAGCGTTTTGTATAACTTGAGAGCTAGATACACCGCTGGCATGATCTATGTAAGTCAGAAAATAAAGAGTCTTACAATTTATGACAGATACAAATTTAATTCTACAACTTCATTTTAAGTAAACGGCGCCAAGAAAACTGTTGCTTAATAGTCTACAACCACATGGTAACCTTATTGAAGCTGTTCAGCTTACTACATTGACTGATAGTGTTTTCCTTGACGTTGGTAGTAAGGTGTGAATATTGAACGCCTGATCCATAATACAATTAAATACGTTCTTCATATTAATAAGTCTACGTGTAAAACAATGGAAACTGACTCTTGCCCCATTGGTCTTCCTTAGTTCGAATTAAATTTGCTTCAGAAAGCAGAGCCCAGTGGCTTTAAAGACTCACCCATCGTTGTTTGTTTGTTTGTTGTAATATTGAACAATATAACATGGTGTCATAATTATATATGTTCATTGTTTAGGAAACAGGTACCAACCTTATGAAATGTGGACATTAACTGACTGTCTCTCTCACAAATTTGACTATGTTTGATTTCAGACATACTCTGGCCTCTTCTGTATCGCCATCAACCCCTACCGCCGTCTCCCCATCTACACACCCGGTGTGGTTTCCAAGTACAGAGGCAAGAGAAGGACCGAGATGCCTCCTCACTTGTTCTCCATATCTGACAACGCCTACCAGTTCATGGTGCAAGGTGAGAGCAAAGCAATGCCACTCTTGTGTTTTTCATTGGCGCCTAGTATGGAGCAAATTGTGCATTCTCGGTAGGAAAGAATGTAAGAAAGTCATCACCACTGTTACGTCATTGAAGGCGCAATAGGAACAAATATTGATTGTATGTAAACATGTTGAAACTGGGACAGTTTACATTCTAAAACCTTTTGTTTTTCAGATCGCGAGAACCAGTCCATGTTGATCACGTAAGCATAATGTTTTTTGTCATGTTCTTGAAAATCACTACGAAAATTAACACGAATCCAAACACGATATCAAATGATCGAATACTTGAATGTTTATGATAGTCTGCAAAGGTCTGTGATGATGAATCTTATTAAGGATGCACTGGCAACAATTCATACCCGTGCATGTATATTTTCATCCAGTGGTGAATCTGGGGCCGGAAAGACTGAGAACACCAAAAAGGTCATTGCCTACTTCGCCCACGTCGCCGCTGCGACTAAACAAGAGGGCGAGAAGGACGAAAAGAAGGCAAGTCAGATTCATACTAGAATGCCAATGCTAATATTTCTTCAAGTCGGGAGAAATTAGCTCAATATAGTTCATGGTTTCTTCACATATGGCTACTGATGTTGCTGATGTTTCAGAAACTACACAACCGATGCAGCCGTTACCTTCGTCACCAGAGCTCCTATTCCTGTAAACCGTTGTTGTGTACAAGATGCTGAATGTAGAGATGACACAGACATTTAATTTTATGCTTTGTTTAACAATTCCCAGGGGTCCCTCGAGGATCAGATCGTGCAGGCTAACCCTGTTCTTGAGGCCTACGGTAACGCCAAGACATCCCGTAACAACAACTCCTCCAGATTCGTAAGTTTCGAATAGTTCTAATAGTATGCTTAATGGAGATACATTGATGACGAAATGTTGAGCAAAGATTATACTGTAATTAAAACAGTGACATGCACAGTTAAGTCGAACGCCTCTTCGGAATCTTTGTTCAGGCATAGGTATGCCAGCCTATATAAACGCCGGAGAGGCGCAATCGAGAGCCACACGGAAAGCGGCATTTAAAGATCAGTATAGATACTTTTGGTGTTCGCGTTTTGAATTGATTTTAGTGAGTGCATCATTTTAAAATAAAAACGAAGATTGAATAAATATGATAGCCTGCAATTCATTCCTGTACAGCACTCCTTCTCTTAAATCTACAATCTGTTTTTCAACAGGGTAAATTCGTGCGTATCCATTTCGCTACATCTGGCAAAATTGCTGGTGCCGACATTGAGACATGTGAGTAAATATGTTTGTCTCAGCTTCTTAACAATAAACCTGTTTAGCAAGTGGTGTAGAAAAAGCAAACGAAAAAGTTGAAACCAGTACTGTTTCAATGTACAAATCTTAACAAAAGCTAAATATCTAATCAAACAGTAATGATGTAGAGGCAACCCTTCGAAAATGAACATTATTCAGTCGTTTAACATGACATATTTGTGATTATTTCAGATATTTCCCTCGATATCTCTCTTGAATGAAACTAATACTATTTTTGTGCTGGTATGGTATGTTTATGAATAATTACCAGCCTGTTGTCCTTTCCCATGATTCGTTAATTCAAACAGCAAAACATGGGATAGCACCACACAGAATAACTTGATTCACTGAATGAATGTGCATATTGACGTTTTTTATGATTCCCCCTAACTTAGACCTGCTCGAGAAGTCCCGTGTGACATTCCAACAATCGGTTGAGAGAAACTACCATATCTTCTACCAGATGTTGTCAGGAGCCGTGCCAAGTATTATAGGTGAGAAACGTGAGACAGTTGACCCTGGAGTGCACCACATCTCACTTTGAAGCGCTACGTCCTTCAGCAGTGATTTTCTCAATTCAAATTCTGAAGCATCATAAGGGTTTTCGCCACTTTCATCAAGTGGTGTAGACATATGCCATGCATTAGGCAGTTCCTCAGCTTCAATGCTAATTCGATTTGTCAAGCACATATTAGCAATTACACATACATGATCCTATGGATGACAAATGCACTCATTCTGTAATGTTTTCTTTCAGAGAAGACTCTGGCTAGCACTGATGCTGGTCTCTATTCCTTCATTAACCAGGGCGCCTTGACTGTCCAGGGAATAGACGATGTAGAGGAAATGAAGATGACAGATGTGAGGACAGTTTCCTTTGGCTTCAGAGATAACAAAATATTTAGCAAATGTATTGAGGCTGAATGAATGTAAAGATTGCATGTCCTGATTGCCTGTCGTACTTAATCAAACTTGAACTGTGTAACTGATATTTTACAGGAAGCCTTTGATGTTCTGGGATTTACTCCTGAGGAGAAAACCAGCGCCTACAAACTCACTGGCTCTATCCTCCATATGGGTGAAATGAAGTTCAAGCAGAAGGGTGAGCAGGCTGAGCCAGATGGAACTGCTGAAGCTGAGAAGGTATCCTTCTTGCTGGGCGTCAACTGTGGCGACTTCGTTAAGTCTTTGTGTAAACCCAAGATCAAGGTTGCTATGGATTACGTCACCCAAGGACGTACCAAAGCTCAGGTTGTCTATTCGGTTGGTGCTCTGGCTAAGTCTCTGTATGATCGTGTCTTCAACTGGCTGGTCAAGAGAGTCAATCACTCACTCGACACTAAAAAACCAAGGCAGTTCTTCATTGGTGTTCTGGATATTGCTGGGTTTGAGATCTTTGAGGTAAGTTAGCATTTTACGTCAAATATCGTTCTTTTTCTATTGCAAAACCTTTCTACCTGCAAATATATCCATGTAAGTTATAATAATTCCTATTATCTCATTTACCAGTTCAACAGCTTTGAGCAACTGTGCATCAATTACACCAACGAGCGCCTGCAGCAGTTCTTCAACCACCACATGTTTGTGCTGGAACAGGAGGAATATAAGAAAGAAGGTATCGCGTGGACATTCATCGACTTCGGCATGGACCTGCAGGCCTGCATTGAGCTGATCGAGAAGGTAAGATTATATAATGTTATCAGTTTAAGTTACCTATCAATAATACTCTCGAAAATTAATAACAAATTCAATTTGTAATTGTTCTTTTCTAGCCCCTTGGTATCCTGTCCATCCTGGAAGAGGAGTGCATGTTTCCAAAAGCATCTGACAAAACCTTCAAGGACAAGCTTACTGAGAACCACATGGGCAAATCTCCAAACTTCCTCAAGCCCAACAAGTCTATGAAGGGAGGTCAACATGGCGACTTCGCCCTGAAGCACTATGCTGGTACAGTTCCCTACAACATCGGAGGCTGGCTCGAGAAGAACAAGGATCCTATCAACGAGACCATTGTTGAACTCCTAAAACAATCCAAGGAGCCACTTGTACAAGCACTTTTCACTCCACCAGAAGGTTTGTTATCAGAAGTATAAATAGCTGGATGGATAAACAATAATGATAAAAAGAAGGCAGAAATGTATTTCATAGCTAGAAATGTGTTTCGACTGCGTCTAATCCAGGCTCATGTAAACAATTAAGTGGATCATAGGTCCGATCCAATTATTTTTTTTTATTAATTTTGATCATTTGTCTATCAGAATCCTGTCCAGACTTTACATTAACCTAAAACTAATTTATGTTTCTGCACTTGTGTAGGAGATGCTGCAGCGGCTGGAGGTGCAAAGAAAAAGAAGAAGAGCTCTGCCTTCCAGACTATTTCCGCCACCCACAGGGTCAGTGTTATGTTGTATTTGTATTGGTGTCTGGTTCACCAAAACATACAAACACAAAATGCAAACCAGATTCTGGATACAGAAAAGTTTGATATTAACAATATTGTGTTAATGTACTGGACACTGTTATGCAATACCAATCACCAGTCAAGATAATAGGCGGCCTAGTTGATTAATGTTTATAGTAAAATAGCTTTGTAAGATGTTAATGTTCAGGAAATATTTTGGCTGTTCTGAAAAGCCTAAGGTATCATCGTTGGTAAGGAAAGGTGAACAAGACATTTATCCTCTTAATCTACTATTTCTGTAAATCTTCTTGCAGGAATCTTTGAACAAACTGATGAAGAACCTGTACACCACTCACCCCCACTTTGTGCGGTGTATCATCCCCAACGAAACCAAAACACCAGGTGTGTATGTCACATTTCTCATTGTGCTCAGATTATCAAAATAATTCTTAGTACATGGAAGTATATTGATATTTGTCAAGTATTTCTTGCTGTTACTTTTGTCTCATGATACAAATGAGGACATGCTGAATTTCTATTTCCAGGCCTGATTGATGCTGCTCTCGTGCTTCACCAGCTCCAGTGTAACGGTGTACTTGAGGGTATCCGCATCTGTAGGAAGGGCTTCCCCAGCAGAGTCGTGTACTCTGAATTCAAACAGAGGTCAATATTTGTACACTCAGTCTCAGTTAGATAAATCCTAAATTATTTGGATAATCTCAACTCTCATTATTCTCTCCATATAACGGTATTTTAATGAAAAATATACGTTTCTTGTTTTGAACAGATACTCCATCCTGGCCCCTAATGCTATCCCACAAGGCTTCGTTGAAGGCAAAGTTGTCTCTGGAAAGATTCTTGAGGCTCTGCAGATGAGTCAGGATGAGTACCGTCTGGGCAACAGCAAGGTCTTTTTCAAAGCTGGAGTCCTAGGTTATCTTGAGGAGCTTCGTGACGAGCGACTATCCACCATAGTGTCATTGTTCCAAGCTCACATTCGTGGATATCTGATGAGAAAGTACAAGAAGAGTCTCCATGACAAGAGGTATAGTGTTACTGTGCATATCATATCATTCCACTAAATATACATGTTTTATGGTGATTAATGCACAAGATGTCCTGTTCGTTAAATAATTTCTTCCATTGCTAGAAGTTATTTTAGACATGTTAATATTCGTCTTTGTAGAGCTTCATTGGAAATGATCCAGAAGAACATCCGTAAATGGCTAGCCATGAGGAACTGGCTCTGGTGGAGATTCTACACTAAGGTCAAGCCTCTCCTCAGCATTGCTGCCGCCGAGGATGAAATGAAGAAGAAGGAAGAAGAACTAGCGAAGACTAAAGAAGAGCTTGATAAAGTAAGCTCGAGATCAAAGCAGTTAGAGGAAGCGAACGTTACTTTGATGGAAGCTAAGAATGATTTGTTCCTACAAGTCCAAACCCAACAGGACACCATCGATGATATTGAAGAAAGAGTCGAACAGCTGCTGAAGGACAAGACAGACTATGCATCACAGCTGAAGGAACTGGAGGACCGTCTCCTTGATGAAGAAGATGCAAATGCCGAGGCCTCAGAGAATAGAAAGAAAATGGATACTCAAAACAAAGAACTGAAGAAGGATTTGGAGGATATGGAAGGAGCTCTCGCTAAGGTATGAAGATGATTTGTTGCTCTGAAAGAAACAGCACTTAAAATTCTAACTGAACACTGCCATGTAAACTTCACGATTCTGTCTCAACTGTCACTGTATTTTCTAACATATGTTAAATATTTCTTCTAGTCTGAACAAGATATAAAGACCAAGGAAAGTCAAAACAGAACACTCCAGGATGAGATGGCTAAGTTAGACGAAACCATTGCCAAGCTTCAAAAGAAAGGAAAGGACGGCGATGAAGACCTTTCAAGGACAGCTGCTGCTCTCCAGGCAGAAGAAGATAAGGTCAACCATCTTAACAAACTTAAACAAAAATTGGAAGGCTCCCTCGATGAGATGGAGGACAGTCTTCAGCGTGAGAAGAAGATGAGAGGTGATGTTGAGAAGGCAAAGAGGAAGATGGAACAAGATCTTAAGATGACACAAGAAACGGTCGAAGAACTTGAACGTGCTAAGCGGGAACTTGAGGATGCTCTTAAGAAGTAAACTCATATATACCTGTTCCTGTAAAACAGAGCTAGATGCCCATTACCATGTTCACCAATTGCTTGATACATACACTGCGATGAATCTAAACGTTGTTTGAGATAAGACCTACATCCACAATTTATATATTTGTTTAGTGAAAATATACGTGTCAATAAGATATACTTGTGTCGACAGTACTGATATATTCTTGAGTGATTTACTTTAAGGAAAGAAAAGGATGCTGGTGGTCTCAACACACAGCTGGAGGACGAACAAAACCGTGTTGCCCAGCTTCAGAGAAAAATCAAAGAGCTCCAGGTAATGAACTTATGACGCATCACCTTTATAATTGAAAATGGCCTCATGGTTAAAGCATTCGATTGTCACGCCGAAGATCCGGTGCGGCTTGCCCACATAGGTACAATGTATGAAGCCCTTTTCTGGTGTCCCCCGCCGTGATATTGCTGGAATATTACTAAAAATGGCATAAAACTGAACTCACTCCTCACTACAATTGATTTACTGATACGTAGGGTAAGATGTAGAAGATTTAGAATTAAAACTGATAACACATATTTTATGTTTAACAAAGGCTCGCATTGAGGAACTTGAGGAAGAACTTGAAGCCGAGAGACAATCCAGAAGCAAGGTTGAAAAGCAAAGATCCGAACTGGCTCGTGAGCTGGATGAGATGCAAGACAGAGTAGAGGAGGCTGGTGGTGCCACAGCTGCTCAGGTTAGTCAAGAATATGGCACATATACTAAGTGATTCATGAATGAATAATTATTAAACTATCAATAACTATTTATACATTTATCACTATTCACGAAATATACATATATTTGATGTCATAATAGGTTGACTTGAATAGAAAGAGAGAACAAGAAGTTCAGAAACTCCGACGGGAACTTGAAGAAGCCACACTCCAAGGAGAATCTCAGGTCTCTTCACTCCGCAAGAAGCAACAAGAGGCCGTCAATGAACTCAGCGATCAAGTTGACCAACTCCAGAAGGTCAAGAACAAGTAAGGGTCACTGTCTTATGAACATTATGAACACTCACCTTGTAATCATTGGCCTGCCAAAACGACAGTCCTAAGTTACATAACTTGAATAAAACATTCATGAGAAAACCCATTCTTCTGAAAACCTTCAAAGGCAGTTATACTTCCTTTGTTTCCATTTCTTTACTTACTTGTATTGTATAAATACATGTCATTCGTATTTACATTATCACTGATCACCTTCGCTTTATTGCAGAATTGAAAAGGAAAAGCAACAGATGAGAGGTGAAATCGAAGATCTTCAAGCTCAGGTTGAGTACGTCAAGAAGAACGCTGTAAGTACATCAAACATCACTCTGTCAGAAACTGAAACGTAATAATTTACGCATTCAAAGTCATTTTAACACTGGTCTTAAATGAAAAGTGTTAAATGATATCAGTGTAAATCAGTATTACAACCATATGTTTTGTAATGCGCTGATGCCATATTTCTGTCCTGACAGATGCGAAATCCTGTACAGAATTGATGTGGGAAGAAAACGTAGAAAATGATAGTACATAGTTGCCACATAGTAATTTTTCATTCATAGAAGAGATGTCAGTTATACATTGTGATTTCAGGGTCCATCAGCAAAACAGCAAAAGCAGTTCGAGACCCAACTGGCTGAGTTGAATGCCAAGGTGGACGAAGGTGCTCGCGAAATCAGCGACCTTCAGGCTCAGAAGAGCCGCCTTAGTTCTGAGAGCTCTGATGTGACCCGCCAGCTGGAAGAAGCAGAGCACAATGTCAGCCAGTTGTCCAAGGAGAAGTCTAATCTGAACAATCAGTTGGAGGAAGCCAAGAGAACTATTGAGGATGAATCCAGGGTGTGTATTGATTCCGATCACAAGTGTGTAGCCAATACGTCTTTCATGATGCATATGATTCTCCACTGGCTATACCCAGAAGAAAAGCCTCTGCCCTGCTATGGAGGCAGAAAACTATGAACAAACAATAGTTTGTGATAATTTGCGGAATATATTGTATGACATCAGAGTAAATGACAAAATGTTCCTTCGAGATCACCCTGTTGGAAATATGAACCGTGTTAATCATCAGGTTGATTGGGTAAACATTCCATTTACACAATTAATCGATGGAATGTTGGATGTATCCAGAACATGTCCAGGTATCTGATGTTTTAACTTTGTTATCTAGGCCCGCCAGAAGTTGCAGTCCGAGGTGCGTAACCTTACTGCTGACATTGACGCCCTTCGGGAACAGTTTGACGAGGAACAGGAGAGAAGTGCAACTGCTCAACGTCAAGCGTCTAAGGCTGTTGCCGAGGCTCAGCAATGGAAGTCCAAATTTGAGACCGAAGGCACAGCCAGAGCTGATGAACTTGAGGAGGCTAAGTGAGTTCATCTCAATCTTACATTTTGCTCTAATGGATTAACGGGTTTGATTCTAGATCCATATCGATTGTGCTTCTCATCGTGTTCTACTTCATTTGCGTGCATATTACTCTTAACAAAACTGACTGTCGCCGTATGTTTGAATGCTACAAACGACGCCAAACACACTGCCTCATCGGTCTAATGCCGGTCAGAATCTTTAAGAATGTTCCTGTTTTCATCCTATACACTGTTAGGCTGGATATGTCAATCTGTTGCGATATAGATTTTACAAGGTGATTTTACGGTAGCTCAATACCAATTGAAACACAATAAGCTCTATGAAAATATCTAGAAGTTGCTTTCTCTTTGTGTTTCAGACGCCGTCTCCAGTCTAGGCTCAATGAAGCAGAGCAGAACATGGAAGCTGCCCAGGGCAAAGTGAACGCCCTTGAGAAGGCTAAGAACAGACTACAAGGAGAGCTCGAGGATGTCATGGTGGACTGTGAGAGGGTAAGAGGGACTTTCTATAAAAATAATCAACAAACCATAAGGGTCTGCCTCATTGACGATAAGCAGCTTTCTCATGTTTAAAAAATACGTATATTTTATCATTTGTGACTCACAGGCAATTAATCACAACAAACAGATATTGATATCAACGTACATAAATTGTTTTGTTTCAGTTCATAAATATATATTTATGAGATCAATCATTCCGCTATTGATAGGCTAACTCTGCCGCCAACAATATGGAAAAGAAACAGCGTAACTTCGACAGGACTATTTCTGAATGGGAGACCAAGGTGACAGGTCTCCAGGCCGATCTGGAGGCTTCCCAGAAAGAGACCCGCGGTTATTCAGCTGATGTCTTCCGTTACCGAGCTCAGGTGGATGAATCTGAATCTACTATTGATTCTCTCAGGAGAGAGAACAAGAACCTCTCAGGTAATATGTTTGTGAATAGCAACGTGAAGTATTCTCTGTTAAGTCAAATATTTCAAACAGACTGATACATTTGATCGTAACGACATGTTGGTGCCTCTTCGAGATTAAATATTCAAGTGATGCTTGAGAATGTTTAAAAATGGTTTCAAATAATCGGGTTTATTGTGGTTTGCAGAAGAGATCCGTGAACTCTCTGATCAGCTTTCTGACGGTGGCCGCAGCATTCACGAAAGCGAAAAGGCCCGTAAACGTATTCAAATGGAGAAAGATGAACTCCAGAACGCTCTTGAAGAGGCCATGTCGACTCTAGAACAGGAGGAGGCTAAGGTTGGACGTGTCAACATTGAACTGGCTCAGGTCCGTGCTGACGTCGATAGGCGTCTTGCTGAGAAGGAAGATGACTTTGAGAACACTCGGTGAGTAATATGAAAATATGTCCAACGTTTGATCGCAGCAAAACAATGGTCACTTACTCAAAATTTAAAGTATTTAATTTCATACAATTGGATTGATTGATTGATTGTTTGTTGTTAAACGTCGCATTCAGCAATATTCCAGCTGTATGGCGGCGGTCTTTAATAATCGAGTCTGGACCAGATAATCCAGTGATCAACAGCATGAGCATCAATCTACGCAATTGAGATACGATGACATGTGTCAACCAAGTCATCGAGCCTGACCACGCGATCCCGTTAGTCGCCTCTTACGACAAGCATAGGTTACTGCAGACCAATTCTAGCCCGGATCTTCGCGTGTTTCATACAGTTGGAAAAGTGATAAGCAGATCTGTTAAACTATGTGGATTTACGATTGTTTGCAGTCGCAACCACCAGAAGGCTCTTGAGTCTCTCCAAGCCAGCATTGATGCTGAGGCAAAGGGCAAGGCTGAGGCCATGAGAATCAGGAAGAAGTTGGAAGCAGACATCAACGAGCTCGAGGTTGCAGTTGATAATGCAAACCGTACCCGCGCTGACGCCGAGAAGAACGCCAAGAAATGGCAGGGTCTCATCAAGGTAGGTCAATATCCAGGACAATACGATAATAAACACGAAGGACACGGTCTTATAAATGCTGACAGAATGACATGAATATAATATGTTAAAATTTGATGTTCACTTGACCATCATATCAAGAGTTGAAAAGAACCCTCCTTTAAATTTTACAGGAAATGGAAACAAAGGTTGAAGAGGAGCGTAGAGCCCGCGAGGAAGCCCGTGAATCTCTACTTGCCATGGAACGTCGATGCAACAACTTCAAAGTTGAGGCCGAAGAGCTTGAGTCCAGTCTGGAAAACTCTGATAGAGGCCGCAAGAACGCCGAAGCTGAGTTGACAGAGGCTCTTGACAGAGTCAATGAGCTGACAGCTACAAGTTCATCGCTCCAAGGCCAGAAGAGGAAGCTGGATAGTGACATTTCTGCGATGCAGGTAAGATCGAGAAATAATGCAAAACAATTACGTTGAAAACCAAGTACTACTTTTGAAAGACTTTCATTTAGACTATTTGTCTGATTGAGTAGTTTTCTCCTTATATTTAATATCTAATGTGATAATACCACCATGAACGACCTAGGTATTATTGTATGAAGTATCGCATCATCTTGTGTTGCACCCTTCCCTGTTTGTATGAATATCTTCAAAACGTTATACGAGATTATTTGGTTTGTACACAGAGACGTGTTTGCAACGTTGCATGTTGTCATAGATGATATTAATGACTTGTGATTCTAACACTAATACCACTAATGCATTTGTGAACAGGCCGACCTTGAGGACATGAGTGGCCAAGTGAGAGCAGCTGAGGAGAACGTGAGACGCGCACAGGCCGATGTACAACGCATGACCGATGAGTCGCGCGCCGAGCAGGAACACAGCAAACAGTTGGACAAACTGAAGCGAGGATTGGAGGCCCAAGTCAAGGAACTTCAGATCAGAGCGGAAGAGGCAGAGGCTGCCGGACTCAAGGGAGGCAAGAGGGCAGTTGCTAAACTTGAACAGAGAGTAAGTATACATTATTACGACAGATACGTTCAAAGTATATCCCCAGCATCTGAAAAGTAAAAGTTAGAAGTAGCAAGAATGTAGTCACAAGAGACTTCAATCAATTTAAATAAGCAATGTGCTTGAAACAAACTACTATTTAAATGTGCTCTAAAGAGGTAAACAGCATGTCTATCTGTGCCACACTGTAAGACTGTTCGTTACTTGTTTCTGCCATGTTCTCAGTGTCACTGGTTAACGTGTTACGTGTACCTGACATTGTCATCTCTATAAAGTGTCCTCTGCTGGTTCTTTCAGGTTCGTGAGCTCGAGACAGAGTTGGATAGCGAGCAGCGCCGTCATGCTGATACTCAGAAGAGCTCGCGTGCTGTTGAGCGTCGTTTGAAGGAGGTCTCCCTCCAGGCCGAGGAGGAGAAGAAGGGCCAGGAGAGACTCCAGAGCACCATCGACGCCCTCAACGCCAAAGTCAGAACATACAGAACTCAGATTGACGAGGCTGTAAGTGACTTTACCAAACATTAAAATCTGAAAACTTGCTTAGCCTTTCTTTCTAAAGAATAGTTCGTCAGGACGGAGTGTGGTGTTTGGTTATAATGAGAATATCGTGTTCTTGTTGCCTGGCTCCAGCTAGTCTGTGATGTGTATTTTAAGCGGTGTCAAACCATACTTACATTCAGTACATCGGTTGTCCTATGTGATTTGAATTCCTTAAGTCCATTTTAAATATTTGCTTTGATTACAGGAGGAGCTTGCTGCCATGAACCTTGCCAAGTACCGCAAGGTCGTCACCGAATTTGAGGACGCGGAGGAAAGAGCTGAATCTGCTGAGAACGCTCTGTCAAAACTCAGAGTAAAGAACCGCAGTTCTGTCTCCATGGCTCGTTAAACCCTCACTGGGCATGTCACCCTTACCTCGGCATTAATTGTTATGGGTTACTTCTGGTGGGCACTTCCTAACAAAGAGCCTACACCTATGTGTATCTCAATTTATTGTATATCGGAAATATCGGAACAGAATGGACTTCGATGAAACGGTTAATCTGTTATGACTCGGAGAACACTCTGTTAAGTCAGCTCGATCAAGACTTTAATGTTCAGATTCAATGACATGATATTCTGTGTTGTGTCTGGATGCCTGAAATCTTGAAGCATAGTTCTGTACTTGAAATAAAATGTATGCGATGATTTTCTGCTTTCGTTTTAAGTTTACCTACAATCTGTGATGATATATTTATTGATTTATATTGTTTCACAAACAGGTCCTCTAAACAGGCCTGGAATACAGTCATTTAAAACTGGTAATGATTGTAACTTGTCAGTTGTTTTGTGGTACGTTCTCAGTACAAATGAAACGTTAAGTTTGTTGTACCTTTCCAAGCGATCACCAACCAAGCTTAAATGGGTAAGGTTTGTGAACGTATCACAGTTGACTGGTTTAAGCAAGCAGGAAGGAGTGGGCTAGATTAATGGTTGAAACTTTCGCAAGTAAATCTAAGTCTTGGGTTTGACTAACCACGTGGGATGTATTTGTCAGTTCTTGACATCCCCCACCCTGACCTGATCACTGTCATCACATACAAGACACGGTGTTCGTTGTCGGTGCTAACAATGGATTCGAACCCAATGCTATTAGAGCATCAGAAACAGGTCATGTGTCCCTCATCGTGGTACGCAATCGTTATCACGACAGTACCTGTACTAATCTGTTCTATCAAGTCATGGTAAACTGAAGCCTGAACAAGAGACTTCAGAGTCTTATCAGCAAACATTCACCGTCTTTATGACCAGACCTACACTTGGTTACGTAAGAACAGTTTACTCACGTTACTTGGCTTGCTTTTGTTTAAGGAACTCACATTATTTAGGCATTGCGTTAAGACTGATTATCTTAAAAGTGATTAATAAACACATGACTCGGGTTGAACACATAAATACGCTCTATGTTACACTGGACACCGCTTTCAGTACAGATTTCATATGAGTATAGAAATGCTTTTCAGTTGCTTTTATTCACATGGCAGAGCTTAACAGTCTAAGAACTCAACAGGTGTTCATAGGGGTGTGTTAGGACAAGAAAACATATTTAAAAAATGTTATATCTTCTACTTGAAAAGGGTGTACACGGCATATACTACTGAGACGTTATAGGTAAAACTATGCAGTAGGGCACATGCAGCAGTGTGAGACTCGTCATAGATAACAGTATGCAGTAAGGCCCATGCACGAGTGTGAGAGGCGTTATAGGTTACAGTATGCAGTAAGGCCCATGCACCAGTGTGAGAGGCGTTATAGGTTACAGTATGCAGGAGGGACATGCACGAGTGTGAGAGGCGTTATAGGTTACAGTATGCAGTAGGGCACATGCACGAGTGTGAGAGGCGTTATAGATAACAGTATGCAGTAGGGCACATGCACGAGTGTGATAGAGGCGTTATAGGTGACAGTATGCAGTAGGGCACATGCACGAGTGTGAGAGGCGTTATAGGTAACAGTATGCAGTAGGGCACATGCACCAGTGTGAGAGACGATATAGGTAACAGTATGTAGTGGGGCACATGCACCAGTGTGAGAGGTGCTATAGGTAACAATGTGCAGTAGTGCACATGGACGAGTGTGAGAGGCGTTATAGGTAACAATAAGTAGTAGGGCACATGCACGAGTATGAGAGGCGTTATAGATAACAGTATGCAGTAGGGCACATGCACCAGTGTGAGAGGTGCTATAGGTAACAGTATGCAGTAGGGCACATGCACACGAGTATGATGAGGCGTATAGGTAACAGTATGCAGTAGGGCACATGCACTTCAGTGATATCAGTAACAATAAGTAGTAGGCACATGCACGGTGTGAGAGACGTTATAGGTAACGGTGGTATGCAGTAGGGCACATGCACCAGTGTGAGAGGTGCTATAGGTAACAATAAGTAGTAGGGCACATGCACGAGTATGAGAGACGTTATAGGTAACAGTATGCAGTAGGGCACATGCACCAGTGTGAGAGGTGCTATAGGTAACAATAAGTAGTAGGGCACATGCACGAGTATGAGGAAGGCGTTATAGGTGACAGTATGCAGTAGGGCACATGCACGAGTGTGAGAGACGTTATAGGTAACAGTATGCAGTAGGGCACATGCACCAGTGTGAGAGGTGCTATAGGTAACAATAAGTAGTAGGGCACATGCACGAGTATGAGAGGCGTTATAGGTAACAGTATGCAGTAGGGCACATGCACCAGTGTGAGAGGCGTTATAGGTAACAATATGCAGTAGGGCACATGCACCAGTGTGAGAGGCGTTATAGGTGACAATATGCAGTAGGACACATGCACCAGTGTGAGAGGCGTTATAGGTAACAGTATGCAGTAGGGCACATGCACCAGTGTGAGAGGCGTTATAGGTAACAGTATGCAGTAGGGCACATGCACCAGTGTGAGAGGCGTTATAGGTGACAATATGCAGTAGGGCACATGCACCAGTGTGAGAGGCGTTATAGGTAACAGTATGCAGTAGGGCACATGCACCAGTGTGAGAGGCGTTATAGGTAACAGTATGCAGTAGGGCACATGCACCAGTGTGAGAGACGTTATAGGTAACAGTATGCAGTAGGGCACATGAACCAGTGTGAGAGGCGTTATAGGTAACAATATGCAGTAGGGCACATGCACCAGTGTGAGAGGCGTTATAGGTAACAGTATGCAGTAGGGCACATGCACCAGTGTGAGAGGCGTTATAGGTAACAATATGCAGTAGGACACATGCACCAGTGTGAGAGGCGTTATAGGTAACAGTATGCAGTAGGGCACATGCACCAGTGTGAAAGGCGTTATAGGTAACAGTATGCAGTAGGGCACATGCACCAGTGAGAGACGTTATAGGTAACGGTATGCAGTAGGGCACATGCACCAGTGTGAGAGGCGTTATAGGTAAACGGTATGCAGTGGGGCACATGCACCAGTGTGAGAGGCGTTATAGGTAACAGTATGCAGTAGGGCACATGCACCAGTGTGAGAGGCGTTATAGGTAACAATATGCAGTAGGGCACATGCACCAGTGTGAGAGACGTTATAGGTAACAGTATGCAGTAGGGCACATGCACCAGTGTGAGAGGCGTTATAGGTAACAGTATGCAGTAGGGCACATGCACCAGTGTGAGAGGCGTTATAGGTAACAGTATGCAGTAGGGCACATGCACCAGTGTGAGAGACGTTATAGGTAACAGTATGCAGTAGGGCACATGCACCAGTGTGAGAGACGTTATAGGTAACAGTATGCAGTAGGGCACATGCACCAGTGTGAGAGACGTTATAGGTAACAGTATGCAGTAGGGCACATGCACCAGTGTGAGAGACGTTATAGGTAACAGTATGCAGTAGGGCACATGCACCAGTGTGAGAGACGTTATAGGTAACAGTATGCAGTAGGGCACATGCACGAGTGTGAGAGACGTTATAGGTAACAGTATGCAGTAGGGCACATGCACCAGTGTGAGAGGCGTTATAGGTAACAGTATGCAGTAGGGCACATGCACCAGTGTGAGAGGCGTTATAGGTAACAGTATGCAGTAGGGCACATGTACCAGTGTGAGAGGCGTTATAGGTAACGGTATGCAGTAGGGCACATGCACCAGTGTGAGACGTTATAGGTAACAGTATGCAGTAGGGCACATGCAGTGTGAGAGACGTTATAGGTAACGGTATGCAGTAGGGCACATGCACCAGTGTGAGAGACGTTATAGGTAACAAGTATGCGGTGGGGCACATGCACCAGTGTGAGAGACGTTATAGGTAACGGTATGCAGTAGGGCACATGCACCAGTGTGAGAGACGTTATAGGTAACAGTATGCAGTAGGGCACATGCACCAGTGTGAGAGACGTTATAGATAACAACGGTATGCAGTAGGGCGCACATGCACCAGTGTGAGAGACGTTATAGGTAACGGTATGCAGTAGGGCACATGCACCAGTGTGAGAGGCGTTATAGGTAACGGTATGCGGTAGGGCACATGCACCAGTGTGAGAGGCGTTAAAAGGTTACAGTATGCAGTAGGGCACATGCACGAGTGTGAGGAGACGTTATAGGTAACAGTATGCAGTAGGGCACATGCACGAGTGTGAGAGACGTTATAGGTAACAGTATGCAGTAGGGCACATGCACGAGTGTGAGAGACGTTATAGATAACAGTATGCAGTAGGGCACATGCACGAGTGTGAGAGGCGTTATAGATAACAGTATGCAGTAGGGCACATGCACGAGTGTGAGAGACGTTATAGGTAACAGTATGCAGTAGGGCACATGCACGAGTGTGAGAGGCGTTATAGGTAACAGTATGCAGTAGGGCACATGCACCAGTGTGAGAGGCGTTATAGGTAACAGTATGCAGTAAGGGCACATGCACCAGTGTGAGAGGGGCGTTATAGGTAACGGTATGCAGTAGGGCACATGCACCAGTGTGAGAGGCGTTATAGGTAACAGTATGCAGTAGGGCACATGCACCAGTGTGAGACGTTATAGGTAACGGTATGCAGTAGGGCACATGCACCAGTGTGAGACGTTATATGAGTAACAGTATGCAGTAGGGCACATGCACCAGTGTGAGGAGGCGTTATAGGTAACAGTATGCAGTAGGGCACATGCACCAGTGTGAGGCGTTATAGGTGACCAGTATGCAGTAGGAGCACATGCACCAGTGTGAGAGGCGTTATAGGTAACGGTATGCAGTAGGAGGGCACATGCACCAGTGTGAGAGACGTTATAGGTAACGGTATGCAGTAGGGCACATGCACCAGTGTGAGAGGCGTTATAGGTAACAATATGCAGTAGGGCACATGCACCAGTGTGATAGGCGTTATAGGTGACAATATGCAGTAGGACACATGCACCAGTGTGATAGGCGTTATAGGTAACAGTATGCAGTAGGGCACATGCACCAGTGTGAGAGGCGTTATAGGTAACAGTATGCAGTAGGGCACATGCACCAGTGTGAGAGGCGTTATCCGAGGTAAACAAGTATGCAGTAGGGCACATGCACCAGGTGTGAGAGGCGTTATAGGTAACAGTGATATGCTTGTGGGTCCAATGAACCAATGTGAGAGGCGTTATAGGTAACATTGTGCAGTAGGGCACATGTACCAGTGTGAGAAGACGCCATAGATAACGCAGTGAGCAGTAGGGCACATGTGAGAGACG